TCCGGGTCCAGGGTAGGGAGCGGGCATCAGCCCTTCGCCAGGTAAAATATATTGTGAAAGGAAAGATAACCTGCACTGGAAGAGTTATTTCCAGGAAGTTCCTTGGTGTGTTACTTAATAAAGTCACAGTCAAGTTAAACCACATTTCTGGTTTCTTAGCTTGCTTCCTGTTGCCTCCAGAACAATGATGGTTTGAAATATTTCTAGGGGAGCAAGTTCTCAATCCCAGATTTTTCAGACTAGCTCCCAAAGCGCCCAATGCGTTTTTGATTATATAGGGATTTCAGATGAATCAATATCATCTTTTCATTTCCCTTCATGAACCAGTTGTCTTCTTAGTGCCAGAAGAATTTTCTGACAACCTTGGAACTATTAAAAGGTGATGAGCAATGTTCCTTCTAATCTTTTTCATCCATGTGCAGATTTTTTCCATCCATGTGTGAAATAACTTTTTATGTGCACTGAGGCATGTGTGAATGTGCACCACCAGTAGGAAAAAAAAACCCTAGCAGCGGGCACTCTGCTAATCATCTGGGGGGCATTCGAATCTCTCTTGAGAAGCCACACTAGTGTACAGTTACTGGGAACACTGTTCACTGGTGCCAACATTTTTCTGAGGTCCAATGTCAGTGAGAATTTTTTGCCCTTGACTTTAGTAGAAGCAAGATTGGACACTATAGGGTAAAATTATCCAAGGAAGCCCATGGTATTTTGCTAAAAACCCCCCCCCCCCCCCTAAAGTCTGGAATATGCCCATAAGCCTAACAGAAATGTAGTGAGCATGAGAGGAGGGACCTTAAGACAGGCATGGTTGCCCTAGCAACCGCATTCCAGGGGGCTGCACCAACTCAGATTATTGCTAATTTTGTAAATGCAATATGCTCTCATTGTTTTGCTTTAATCCTAGATAATGGGCCCATGAACCCATGGATCACACCAGTGCGCCACCATCTCCTTCATAGATGCATCATTCTTCAATTAAACACAAGTTGCCATTAGATTGTCCATTTGTTTATGTTGGCTTATTTAGCTTGTTAAGAAAAAACCATCTGTATTAGATATAAGGTGTTTTACTGACTGTGGGCGGAGATGCTATATAACCTTTCTTAGCTTATTGGCTTACGTGCTCATTTCGTCTTGCTACTAGAACCTATTCAATTGTCTCCCCCCTCCCGCCCCCCGCTCATCAGCTCCCTATTTAATCTATTGTAATGTTTTGCTTAGAAGTGTCCATCAGCCTAACCAGCTAAGTGACACTCCACCAACGTTGTGTGTAATAAACCTTCTTGTTTGCTTGCTCCACACCCAGAGGGTATGTCTACACTACCCCGCTAGTTCGAACTAGCGGGGTAGTGTAGACATACCCTCTGGGTGTGGAGCAAGCAAACAAGAAGGTTTATTACACACAACGTTGGTGGAGTGTCACTTAGCTGGTTAGGCTGATGGACACTTCTAAGCAAAACATTACAATAGATTAAATAGGGAGCTGATGAGCGGGGGGCGGGAGGGGGGAGACAATTGAATAGGTTCTAGTAGCAAGACGAAATGAGCACGTAAGCCAATAAGCTAAGAAAGGTTATATAGCATCTCCGCCCACAGTCAGTAAAACACCTTATATCTAATACAGATGGTTTTTTCTTAACAAGCTAAATAAGCCAACATAAACAAATGGACAATCTAATGGCAACTTGTGTTTAATTGAAGAATGATGCATCTATGAAGGAGATGGTGGCGCACTGGTGTGATCCATGGGTTCATGGGCCCATTATCTAGGATTAAAGCAAAACAATGAGAGCACTTTATTCCCGACAAATACTCTATTGCTCCAATCCTACGCTCACAGCATATCAAGAAAGCTGTTGCTTGGAGCTTTGGTGAAGTAAATTGGCCTCTGCATGGGCACATGTACCTCCACAGTTTAAACTTGCATGTCTACATTGCATTCTGTTGGCTAATGCAGCTTTGATATACACTAAAAATCCTTCTGTTGCCAATAGCTAACATACTTCTTCCTTAGGTCAAAATGTCAGAGCTCTTTACACACACACACAGAGCAGATGTGTGGTTCATGTCTTTCGTGGTGCTATTACACACACACACACACACACACACACACAGAGCAGATGTGTGGTAAATGTCTTTTGTGGTGCTAGAAGCTACTCTCACTGGCTCTAGTGGGATTTGCTAGTACTCAGAACATCTGAAAATTAGGTTGGGACAGTATTGAGGGGAGAAGGAGAAAGAAAGAACAAAGACATAATTAGGTAGATGTTCACTGGAGGAGACAGAGGACATAGAATACTATAATAAATCCCAATAATAAATTTGCTGCTGACTTAATATTTAACTTTGTGATTGATAAGCCAGGGAAATCTGCACAGATATTTCTTCTTTTTAATAATTCAAAAAGAGCTAATGATAAATCAGCCAAGTTCATATTCATATTCCTCTAAGTTTTCTTTTTCCTTTGAGAGGCTTTGCTTATTGTGTTCATAACAGACAAAGACTATGTGAAAGTGAGTTTAACAGTTTAACATTTTATGTTGTTAGACTATTTGTGATTTTCAATTCACACAATAACTGCATTTGTTGTTGGGGAAAAAAGCATTTGTTTATGAAACCCAACATAGAATATCAGAATTGGGGATCAGAGCTGGCCAAAAGTAGAGATTTCCAGTTCCAAGAAATTTTGAATCTTGGTTTTGTTCTGATTTGGACTGAAACAAAAAAAATTAAATTTCCCATGAACTCGAAAAAAATGTCATTTCACGAACATGGGCACGTGGTTTCTCTGAAACAAATATGTTCCCTGGGATCCTAGGAGCTTCTGACTCGAATAGATAAGAATGTCTATTGTAGTCAGCAGCTGCTGGGGTTCTGAGGGTCTGCAGCTCTGGGAAGCCCTACTGTGCGCACTGCCTGATGCTCAGAGGCATCGACAGCCTCTGCGGGCCCCTAGGTCAGGTGCAGGGAGGGGGCTGGCTTGGCACTCCTGAAAGGGGCGGAGTCTCAGGGGGAAGGAGCCTGGAAGTCCACACTGCCCAGAGTGCAGTGCACCCTCCCCTCATCTTTCAGAGACTTCTAGAATCACAGGACTGCCTGCTTAAGAGTCAAATTATATAGGCGACCCTTTGGCCTAGAAACCTCAAAGTCCTGGGGTCTCCAAGGCCAAGGCAAGTTACTTCAAAGCCCCAGACTTCGATGCACATTCCAGGACTTCCAGTCTCCTGATTCCATGGCGGGGAGGTTAGAAGCTCTGAAAGACTCCATGGTTCTAAGCCTCCCAGGACATGCCTTTAGAAACTATAGGGCATCAGATAAAAAAAATTACTCAGTTATTCTGTCAGTTATTTTGCTTTTCACAGAAAGAAAGAAATTCTTTAAAAGACAGTTTTGACCCATGTCTTCCAACATGCTTATTAATAAGGAAAGTCAACCCTTTGTGAATCAGTCTTTTAGTCAGGTGTTGGTAAATAAAGTGTGATCAGGGAATTTAGAGGAGAAGCTGTTAATTTGGAACTCAATTTAGAGATGAAAGCAGAGCTATGCAGAGATATGTAAAAACCATGTTAAGTGTATGTAGGTGTGAACTGGAGATCCTGGTTCTGATTTGTTTTTCCATCAAGACAGAAATCAAAAGGCAGAAAGATTGATTTAGTTTTCACTTTTTAATTCACACCTCTGCCCAGATCTCCTGCTCCTTTCATCATGCTCTTTGTTCTCCTTCCTCCTGAAGAGACTGTAGTTCCTGAAAGATTGTCTTTTCCTATGTTTTGGTAGTTTTCTATGAGGTACCTCCTTAAATGTACAGCCAGCACAGTTACAGGAGAGCCACTTAGATGTTATTCTGCCTCAAACATCATCAATAAAATGTTCCTACCTTAGCCACACATTTCTACTAGAACCTTCATCTTTTGTGTTGTTTGTGCATGGGTGGAAGGAGGAGATAAATTTCCTTTGGCCAGTTTCCCACCTAGAATCTCTAAGACGGGACTGTCACAATCTGGCCTTGTTTGTACTATTGATTGCATGAAACTAAAGGAAATGTATGCTTACTTAATAAAATGCATGGGTATGTATCAGTTTCTTTAGTTACAGAGCGGCTCTTAAATTAGACTGTGGCCATTTACTGGTCTTGGGCACCAATGTAACTTTTACAGTATGTCTGCAGCAAAAGATTGCTGAAACATACTATCTTATTAATGAGCCAAATGTACTTGGCCCTATTCCTACAGAAAGTACTATGAGACCACTGTTGTATTATTGTAGATGGAATATACAGGCCAAAGCGTTAACATAACCCAATCTGTGCCCAACATTAAACAGTATAAAACAGGGCTACTCAACTTTGGAAGCCCCAGTAGCCACAATGATACTCACAGCACATGCTGAGGGCCGCAACTTAAGTGTGGTTGCATATACATGCAAATATAAATGCAAATATATGCAAATACCTTCTTTCACACTGACAATCATGAATACAAAGATTAAGGCAAGACTACATAACATGCAGGTCCCATTTAAGTCAGTTCTGCTGATATTAATAAATGCAATATTTACCCGATTTCCACCTTTATGACAGCACTTTTAATGAGCAATGACAGTCCAGGAATTTAACTGCTAAAACACGTATCAACAGAAGACCATTATATTGACTCACCATTGTGGAACTGTTCCTAGTGGATACCATGTTCAAAGGATCCCACCCACAGACCCGTGTTGAGCCCCACATAAACCCAAACTGTACCAAGGCCCACAAATAAATGGGCCACAGGCCGCATGTGGCTCGCAGGCTTTGTGTTGAGTAGCCCTGGTATAAAACAAGGGGTTTGGTATAAAGAGTCATGGTCACTGACCATCTGAAGAATATAAAACCATTATGCCTTTTCCGGACAGGAAAAAAAAATCATTCACTCCTTTGCACAAGCTGGTTTGATACAGGAACACAGTCATCACTGGAGATTTCTCACATGAAGAATTCTCGTTTCTTTTTTGTACAGATACATAGCCATTATCGATCCCCTGAAGCCCAGACTGTCTGCAACAGTAACTAAGGTGGTCATTGGGAGTATATGGCTTTTGGCTTTCCTCCTTGCATTTCCCCAGTGCCTATATTCCATAACCAGAGTGATGCCTGGAAGAACTCTTTGCTATGTAGCATGGCCAGGAGGTCTCAAACAACACTTTACGTAAGCTTTTCTTCTTTTAAATGCATGCATGGCTATATCTAAACTGCAGGTTTATTTCAATTTTATGGAGGAATTTACAAGAATAATTTATCTTCTAAGAAACCAAGCATTGATATTTTAAAGATGTAAAACAAGCTTTCTAATATATAATGATAATGTATTTGAATTATACTTAGAATGCATTTATTTATTTAATTCTACATCTGCATTGAAAATATGTTTCAAAGTACTTATACCATGATCACAGGTTGGTGTGCAGATATTTTCAGTCATATCCTTCTCTGGTGTAAATTGATATTGCTCTATTGAAGACAATGGAGCTACACCGATTTCTGCCAGTTAAAGACCTAGTCCTTAATTTGCATGAGTTTGGGATGGTACATTACTTATAAGAGACAAATTTATATGGAAGAAGTTTATCTTTCATTTCTGTGAAGATCAAAGTTAAAATTCAGTGTTTGCTCTTCAATAACATTTCACTAAAACTGTCACTAAGGTCTGACTTCTGTTATATAGTCATATAGTCTTTTTTCAGCTTAAAATGTGGGTGTTTTCTCCTTTTTGCTCCACTCATCTGAAGAAGAGGGTTGTACCCACAAAAGCTCATAATACTGTACAGGCAGTCCCCGGGTTACGTACAAGACAGGGACTGTAGGTTTGTTCTTAAGTTGAATTTGTATGTAAGTCGGAACTGGTACATATTGTAGGGGAAACTCTAGTCAAACATTTCTCCAGAGCTCAGTTTTATTCTCCCACACCTCACTTCCCTCAGTCCTTTATTCTCAAGCTGAGGTGTCTGCTGAGAAAAGCCGCTCCGCGTCTCCCTGGTCTGCTGGGGGGAGCGCTAGCTTCGTGTCTCCCTGGTCTGCTGGGGGGAAGCAGCTAGTGCGGGGTTGCCTCACCCCGTTTGTAAGTAGGGATCCGATGTAAGTCGGATCCATGTAACCCGGGGACTGCCTGTATATATTTTTTGTTAGTCTCTAAGGTGCTACAGGACTACCCTGTTTTTTGTTATAAATGTTTTTGAGGCATCCCCATGGGAAATAGTGAATGAGAAAGTCAGGTCTCAGTAGTTGAAGATGTGAGTTTTTCAAATATTTTGATTTTAAACATTATGTGTACTTTATTGTACAACACTGAAGTCTACTCAGAAATCTGGTCATAGTAACACTGTTTTACAGGGCTGTTACTCTGCTTATTTCAATGAGTTACTCTCATTTAATAACAGTATGAGTTCAAAGACCTATATGTTTCGATAATGACTTCAGACCTTAAACCATTTCTGTCTGCTTTAATGCAGTTTACTTAAGACTTCCATGACAAACAGTAAAAAATAATAATAATAAAACTGGGGTATATCAATAGGTGGTGTAAATAGGCACCCATTTACTCTATCTGAGATTCTGACCTCTTAGGTAGAAAAATTGTCTTTTGTTTACTTCTCACACTTTCAGAAAATTCTACCTGAATAGTTCCTTTTAAAGCATTTATCCGTTCAATACTTTTTTATTGCAGGTATCATGTCATTGTGATTGTATTAGTATATTGCTTTCCACTGCTTGTCATGGGTATCACTTATACCATAGTTGGAATTACCCTTTGGGGAGGAGAGATTCCAGGTGACACATCGGACAAATACCACGAGCAGCTCAAAGCTAAGAGAAAGGTACTGTTCCATTAAACCTATTTATATTGATTTTTTTCCCTGCTTAAATCACTAGCAATTAAGTTGTAAAATATTGGAAGTGTTTTATTCCAAACAGAATGGCATTTGAGACAGTAATAAAAGAACTCTCAATGAAAATTGCAATTGATTTTGACAGGGTTGTGTTTTTTTCAATTTGGTTGTTGTTCAAACAAATGATGTAAATGTTTGGATTTTCACTCTTCACTCCAATTCTAAGGGCCTCTGAGTAACACTTAGTCAGAAATACAACTGTGTCCTTGAGATGTGGAAACAGAAGGCCTACCTTATTACAGAACTGAAGTGACGCTTCTAGATCTTGGGTTCACCTTTCTCCGTTCTCTGAAAAGTAGCTCTTTATTGACTTGATCCAGACTTGGGAACTGGCAGTGCAGACCGTCCTCACTATATGTCCAAGATACATTACAAAAAAAATGAACTTATAGTGAAACAATGTAAAGAGGGAAATTTTTCCACATAATTAATGTAAATGGGGTGGGATGCATTCTGGAACAGTCTTTATGTTGCATTAAAGATGCAAGGCAGGGAATTTTACTCCATAAGAATCTATGGAATAAGGGGAGGTTTAGGAAATGCCACACTACTGATTTTAACAACAGGTAAACATGATTTTATGATATTTTACTGTAGTTTTTAATAATCTGACCCTGAGAAGGCAACGTTTTTGCTTGTTGGTGTTAATGGAGAATTAGTTGGAGGATGAGGATGAGAATAAGGAAACAGATGGAGAATCATCAACAGCCATCTCAGCATAACAAACATCCACCACCTTGATGACTGGTGACCCCACCTGATGCATTGGTGTCAATAACAAACAACATCACCACTTCTGGAGGCTCTTCAACAGCTGCTGCATGGGGGGGGGGGGGGTTCTGCTTTTTAATGCCAGAAGGTCCTGGTTGAGGTGCTTCCATGAATGGTTTGGGATTCGTTTTCCATTTTTAGTAAAGAAAGTGTCCAGTGTTGTTTGCTTGGTGCGCTTAAGATGGCATCTAAAATCTATCTGTAACATGACAAGCCATCTACTGCTCTTGAAGATCAAAGAGATGGCTGTGTTCCTTAAGAATATCCATCATCTCCTCATACAGGTCAAAAACATATCAGAGGATAGGGATTATGAGGCCAGCATCTGCATCTGCATCGACACTATCTTCTTCATGGTGCTGTCTATCCAACTCCATTAGATCCTCATTACTGAGAGGCAAAGAATGAAATTTCAACAACTCCTTCACATCATCTTCTTCAATTTTCTGAAAGCCAGCCTCCTTTGATAGTTGGACTATTTCCTTATGTATGAAGGCTATTGGAAAGCCTAAGAAATGATGCACAGCATCAGGTTACGGGCTCCTTCAGACACTGTTAATTAACTGATTGGATACTTCTTTCCAGGTCCGTCTGCTATGTATATTGGACAAACATCTCAGACACTTCACCAAAGGATTAATGCCCACAAAACAGATATCAGACAAGATCACAAAGAAAAACCAGTTTCTTGCCATTTTAACCAGAAAGGACACTCTCTCAATGACTTAATCACCTGCATTCTGCTACAAAGACCTTTTACATCTGCACTTGAAAGGGAATCCTCTGAACTGTCATTCATGTTAAAATTCGACACTCTCCAAAAAGGAATGAACAAACACTATAGCTTCCCCAATTATCACCTCTAATACTATTAGCTCACAGACATCTACCTTTCCCCACCTCTAATATCATTAACTTGCAGACATTTATTTTCCTTTCCCTCCCCCCCGCATCTCCCTTCTGTTCTGAAATGTGATTTGTCCTTTTCATATGTGTTCACTTTTTTTTTAATTGTATCTTTTGGTATATATGGTTGTGACTATTTTCTTCCACTATTTGATCTGAGGAAGTGGGTCTGGCCCACGAAAGCTCATCATCTAATAAACCATCTTGTTAGTCTTTAAAGTGCTACATTGTCCTGCATTTTGCTTCTTTCCAGGCAGCACTGATGACCATAACAGAATCCATTATGTTGAATTTTTTCTAGAATTCCTGGGCTGTGGGTGTTCCTTCTTCACCGGATTCTGAGATGAGTCTGCAGAACATCCACTGCAAATAATAAGCTTTGAAGTTTGCCAAAAATTCCGATCCATCAGCTGCATGAATGAGGTTATCCTTGGTGGCATAAAAACAACCTTGATGTTAGAACAGAGGGATTTAAAATCCAGGTCGTGGGTGATAGCATTGTCCAGGATGAGGAAAATTTTGAACATAAGATTATTCTCCTCACAATACTTTTTCATTTCTGGAACCAAATAATTCACAAGCCATTCACGGAAAAGCTGCCTGGTCATCCAGGCCTTTCTGTGGAAATTCCAAATGACAGGAAGCTGAAATTACACATCGTTTTTCATAGCATGTGGATTTTCACTACAATACACTAGCTTCATGTCTCCACTGGCATTGCCCCCTAACAACAGACATAGGCAATCCTTCAAGGCCTTACATCAAAGAGCTGACTTCTCATTCACAGAAATGTAGGTCCTAGACCACATGTGTTTCCAATACAAACCCATTTCATCCGCACTAAAAACTTGCTGTGGGTCAGAGCCTCTTTCTTCTATGATGGTCTTCAGCATTTCGGGAAATGCTTCAGCTGCATTCTTGTCTGCACTTGCAGCCTCTCCCTGCACTCGCGTATTGTTGAAGTCGTATCTTTTATGGAACCTGTGAAACCATCCATGGCTGGCATTAAAAGGTCCAGGTTGACCAGTCTCTCCTTCTATTGCAATGCATTTATTCAAGTTCATGGCCTTCTCCTGAATGAAGGCTAGGCTGACAGGCGTATTCTGCAATCATGTAGATAACAAGCGGTCCATTTTCTCCATCCTGTCACTTCTTTGCTGTGTAACCTTCACAGAAGCATGCTTTGGCCATGTTTTGCTGTCTCCAAAATTTTCTTATGATTCTTAATAATCATGCCTACGGTCGTCAGAGGCAGACCAAGATGGTGAGCAATATCAGCAGAGAGTTCACCCTTCCTATTATTATCTAATACATCCAACTTCACATCCTGACCAACACTACTCGAATGCCTTTTACACCCACCAACTTTACTTTTAACTTCACTTGCACTTCCTTTAGGCATGATGAAGGATTGTACAACGTAACACAATACTATACTATCCCAAATGAAATGTACTGTAAAGGGTGACACAGCAGGCGCACTGTACCTATGCACAACATGACTGCACACAACGAAGACAGAGCGCATCAATGCTTGGTGTGGGTTGCTACAGTGCACAGTATTCCTCCATATCTGCTGCGTCTTGAATACTGTGTACAGATGTGGTCTCCTCACTTCAAAAAAGATATTTTGCCCTTGGAAAGGGTTCAGAAAAGGGCAACAAAAATGATTAGGGGTTTGGAACGGGTCCCATATGAAGAGAGGTTAAAGCGACTGGGACTTTTCAGTTTAGAAAAGAGGAGCCTGGGGGGGGATATGATAGAGGTATGTAAAATCATGAGTTGTGTGGAAAGGGAGGATAAAGAAAAGTTATTTATTAGTTCCCATAATAGAAGAACTAGAGGACACCAAATGAAATTAATGGGTAGCAGGTTTAATTCTTCACACAGCATATAGTCAACCTGTGGAACTCCTTGCCAGAGGAGGCTGTGAAGGCTAGGACTATAACAGAGTTTAAAGAGAAGCTAGATCATTTCATGGAGGTTAGGTCCATAAAAGGCTATTAGCCAGGGGATAGAAATGGTGTCCCTGGCCTCTGTTTGTCAAGAGGCTGGAGAAGGATGGCAGGAGACAGATCATTTGATCATTGTCTTCGGTCCACCCTCTTTGGGTCACCTGGTGCTGGCCACTGTCGGCAGACAAGCTAGATGGACTTTTGGTCTGATCCAATACAGCCGTTCTTATGTTCTTATGTCTGTGCAGATCACGAGTTGGTCGCTTTCTTCTATTTGTGTTCAAGCAGTTGACTTTTGTTTGAGTGAATTTTCCTTTTTCTTTTTTTTGAGTGATGTAAGATCAGGGAATGGGAAGACTTATAACAAAGTCTAAATTCGTAAATTCTTCAACAATTCCGAGGCAACTTATAGCAAGCGTGGCCTGTGCACAGACCACAACTGCTTTAGCTTTTTATGTAATGAATGCCATGCATTAAAGATTAGTACCTTTTATAGTGAGAATCAAACTAGTCCTTTCAATTGTTATTTCAATGTATTTCATTAGTTATAATTACAGGTTGCACCTCTATAAACCAGAACTCTCTGATCCAGCAACATCTGTGGTCTGGAAGGACCATGGATGTTCTAGGATCAGAGAGTCCTGGTGTTCTGCAGGGGTTGGGGGGCTCAGACCCCGGCATGATGGAAGGGTGGGCACACAGCCCAATGAGGTTGCGGGGACAGGAACTGGTACATGCCTCAGCTGGGCTGCTGGGGGACCCAGGAACCCGGGGGAGGAGGGCTAAGGCAGGGGTGGAGTCTTCAACAGGGGGCCAGAAACAAACTCCCCAAATCCGGTAAAATCCCTCATCCAAAACCCAACTGGTCCTGAGGGTGCCAGACCAGGGAAGTCCAACCTTTTTTTGTATAATATTTCATCTTATAGGTTGTTAGTGAACCATTTACTTTGGCAATTTACTCAGTAGTTGTGCAATCAGCCACATGGATTAGATTGTATTGTTTCTGCTTCTTAAGTGGAAGACAGAACATTTTAAGTATGATAGTAACAGAATAAATAGCCCCTTTGTTATTCAATTTCAGATAAACAATTATTTGTGCTAAAGTTCTTTAAGCTGTCTGAATGTGCAAATCTTGGGCCTAATCTCAAAATCCTAACTTTGTTTGGGGAGCAGATACTCAATTAGTCTGACTGAAGTCATCCCAAAATTATTCAAATATTTATGAATAATGAACAAAATCCCATAAACTGAGCAGAACATTTCGTTAAATACTTGTGAATCAGATATTCCAACTCT